AAAAAAACTCGGAGCCATTCTGTGAGCCACGGCTAAAAATTGTGTGATTGCACATTAGCTATGCTACAGTATATTGAGGAGTATGTGTGCTTTATAAGAATATTCCAGGTTCTTGGATCCCTAGGGAGTAATTCCTGCATTATGATTCAAGCTCAGTCTGATGGTTATGATTACATACTGTTACACATCATAGTAATTTTCATTATAACAAGATTTTTCAGAAGATATAAAGGTCAGTCTTAGACCATGGTAAACTTTCCATATACCTTTCACCGTAAGTGGACTGGTTTCAAAGACTAAGTCTAAGTGATTGAAAGAATAAATGTCTTTTGGGCTGCATCAACAGCTTAACAAATGTGCGATTGAATGAGGTTGCTGCAATTCCAGTTTCTTTGGCCATCCTTCTCATGAAAACAGTTGTTGATTTTGGAGTATGGCTCAAAACATGTTAACTTTTGGTTTATGTTTCTTCATGAGCTACAACAAATCCTTGCCAATTATCTTCTTAATGTTACCAGAAGATATTCCTAGCTTCATTGCATTTTTTTACTTTCTTTCTTTTTTTTTGTATGATAATAGCCTTCAGTATTCTGTAGATAGTATTGTTATGGGCTGTTTTTGAGGTGTGGTTTCTGAGCCTGTTACTCTGCTTTATGAGTTTTTATACTTCTTCGGTGAACATTCAGTGCTCCCATCTTCAAAGTGTTTAATTTTGTTGTCAGTATGTTGTTTGCAGAAATTATATCTACCATTTGATTTTCACAATTTCTATTGTAAAATTTGGCCTCGCACGTAATTCATTCAAATACGGTGAGAACAAATGTTGAAAGGGGGGGGGGTGATAGGGCCAGAGGAAGAATACCAGTACAAGTAGGCTTGATCCAAAATTGCCTTGTCTGCTTTAATGATTCCTCTAAATGGAAATTGATATGTGAGATTCCTTTAAAGTGGTTTATTGATGGAAAGCCAACCGTTCAAAAGGTCTCCAAACACCTCAGAATTCCACAACTCCTTAAAGTGCAATGGCACACAATTGAAAAAGATCAGCATAGTGATTGGCTTTAAATCTTTCATCATCTACCTTAATGGTGTGTGCTTTTTGCCAGTTCATTTATTATTGCATATAATAGATATTTTTCTCTCATGAAAAATTGCTTTCATGTTTCTTTGTTAGACAGAATTTACTGACAAAATGATTGTCACAATGCATACAACTTCTATCATGCATCAGTTTGTTTTAGAATTGGAAGAAAAAAGTATAGTAGGATAGGTATAGATTTATGAAGTTGAGCATACATATTTCATATCTGCCTTTTAAAAGACTCAGTTTGTAAATAATTGGTCAGAAATTTGTCATAGTAGAAAGTGATTTGTACAAGTATGCCTTAGTATTTCATGAGATGACCAGTTTGTGTTTAACTGGTCTGATCACTGTAATTATGAACTCTTGAATTTAGTATTTGTCCAAATATGTTATGAAATAATTTGTTTGTGTATTAAATTGTCTGTGATTTTGATCATTGGAGAATATGAGTTAAAGTATTAAAAGTTGGCAAAAATTCAATATTTGCTGATCATCTTAGCAATAAACAATGTAAATATTTAATGTCTCAAAATAGCCCGGAAATACAATATGGAGCACTTTGATCCCCTTCTGATTCCCAAGGGCTATGACCCAGGGCCAGCCAAAAGATTAAGTTGCTGTTCTCATTCCTGTATTTAATAATCCTTCCCAATGAATGTTCTTCCTTTGTTAGGACTGTGACTTCATTCTTCATCCATAAGGCTTCTCTGGTGGCATATGAATAGCAACTGATTGGGAGTTTACTGTGACCTAAATGTATAGGTGTTAGATTCATCTATGATGCTATTGTTAGTGTTCTTGGCAACACAACAAAAAACACTGAAACCAGAGTATGGATTCTACACGCACACACACTCACAGATATATA